GTTATGAAATTGCCATTTGAAATAAAAGGGCCACATTAGCACATATTTTGCTTTTTCCCTATCCACAGCACTTGCTTAGTTAAGAAAACTGGGCACATGTGACATGATTCCCGCTGCTGGTTCTATGCCAGTGGGTTTTTTGCAGGAGCTGAAGTCAGGTTGATCTGGTCTGAAATTCTTTGGCCTCTTTTCTTCCTTGTTAGGCTCCACACTTTTATTTCCTTCCCCACCTTTTAAAATCCCACCTACACTGCAGAATTCTCCAACACAGCCACTCGTGTGCGGGTGACTTCAGAGAGGTCCTGCACTGCCCTTCCCTGGGAGATAGGCAGCTGCCTTGTTCTGGATGGCTGCCTTGAAACTAACCCAAACAGACCTCCATAGTGACCATATGGCCATATTTTTAACACCTGGAGACTTAGCAGGACCATCCCTTACTGTAGGGAGTACCACTTGGCTACCTAGTGCTGTCACGTTTTCCAAATTAGAGAAGGGAAATGATTTAGAAATGCTGCAAGTAGTATTCAGAGTCGCATAGTCCTGCTGTACGTCATGTAGCTTCTATTACTATATATACTGCAGCTTTCTTGTATGGTGTAGATAATTGCTTACCGTTTTTAAGGTAAAACCATAGCCACAACTGTTACTGTAATCTTAACAGTTCTATCGGGTTACAAGATATGCAAACTAATAGACAGTTTGCTTGCCAGATTAAAGTGGAAATGCCTAGAGCTCCTCTACTGCTATTTTCATTCCTTGCAGACTCCCACCTCTCTCTGCTTTGTTATGGAGATATCACAAGAGCAGTATTCCCCCTAGTTTTCTTGAAGACACTGCATCATTTACCTTAGCATTCTTTGCCAGGTGAACAGTGACGCCCGTTGTCTCTAAATACTTGTGCTGTCAGCGTGATTCTTTTACAGTGCAACTGGCACTCTGCCTCCCTGCCACGTTTTATCTGCATAGTTAAACAGAAGTGCTTTATTGGATAGTTTGCCTAAACACCTGTGTTACAGTTATTGGCAGATGGCAAGTAGCTGTGTAAAAAGATGGTTACCAAAACCAAGAGTAAGAGAGGAAGCTGCACAGGCAAGTACATGTTTAGATGTTGATCCATTTGATAAAAGAAAAATAACAGCCCTCTTCCTGTTGTTATTACTTCACAAGCAGTTCTCCTGTGTAAAAAGTCAGTTGTTTTACAGGGTTTACCCATCTTTCCAACCACACTACATTGCATCAAACCCACTTAATTCACTTGCTGTTTACAAAGAACACTATGTGAAAGCCAGGGTTTATAAATATGCTAGCATTGGTGAACCCTTGTGCTAATCCAGAACCTTCCCCAACATCTTCAAGTGATGCAGACTTCACAGAATTTCTGCTAGGTTGAATTTCAACTACTTGAAATGGACATAGCTCAGAAAAAGACTGCTGAAGTTGTAAATACAAAGTGCTTGGAACAACAGCATTTTTTAATGCCTTCCTGCCTTACAAAGAACTAATCTTACGGCTAAATGTCAGCATTAAGATGAGGTCATTAGGCACAAACCTCTCTTTCCTACATATAACTAGGGAGCAGCAGACCTTTTTCTTGTTCATTTACTTTTAGGATAAAAAAATAATTTTCAGTCTTAGACTCCTTCTTAGCTTCTGAAGAGTGAAAAAAAGCAGTGATATGATGTGCATGCTTTATGGACTTGGAGTTTTATAGTTGGTTTTAGTCACATGTAAGTCATAATAATAATTGTGCTTCTGACTTCAAAATAGATCTTCTGATGCACTAGAATGTCATTTTGGTATTTTTCAACATATTAGTAACATCATCAGTGTGGTATATTTAGCAGGTAGGACTAAACGCATTGTTAAAGTTCAGAAGAGGTGCCAAAAGGAGCAAAGCTTTTTGAAGGTTATCATGTTATCAACTTTATGAGTCTCCCTCTACAGTACCAGCTTCAAATGAGAAAATGTCTTACGCCAATTTAAGAAAGCCCCAGAACTACTGAGGAATGCTGACCTGTAGCAGGCAAGCTTATTTCATCTATAATACATAAAAGATCAGAATTTCCTTTTGCAGAAACTATGCCAGGTCTGCAACTGGGAATAGGATGCTAGCTGATTAATGTGTTCTTCAAAGACAGCTAACTCAAACTTCCAAAAGTAGTTTAATTAGGGATTAATATTATTAGGCTGCAGTGAAAAGCATTATTATCCTGAATTTAAAAGATGTTTAGAAAGAAAGAAATTAAATTAAGACAATTTCTCTCATGGCAAAACCTTGAGATTCTGAAGCATAATTCACATTTTACTCAGTTCATCATATCTTGGTCAGAAAACCTGTTGCTACCATTCAGCAAATTGTCAAACACAAAGATTAGCCTGAGAAATGGTCGATGAAAGTGAAGAGTGGCTACATAGTGGCTAATACAATAGATTTGACAAAGATATTTCAGATATCAAGATGAGAGCTTTAACATCAGCTTTCTGACTCACAAACACTGGATTTAATTGATAATGACATCACTTGATATTATAATAGTTATTGAAAACAACTTTGAAAATACCCTAATATTTAAGAATAGGGTTTAACCAACAGATATTAGGGTGAACGTTATGGGGTAAATGCATGCGCTTTTGCGGCAAAGCCTGATGGAAAACACTCCTACGAGCTAGCAATCAGTCAGTATACCAAAGAAAGGTAGACCTTGGGTATTTCGCTGTCCTCAGCAAACCATAAACTTGTAAAAACAGCAGATTTATCTTAAACTACTGTATCTTTGTAAACTTTCCTCACATTAATAATTTTTGTGGAAGGAACTGCTTGTTGGACTTAGGCACAGATGCAAGGAGCAAAATGCTAGCAACAGATCCATGTTTACAGTAGGTGCTAAAGGAAAACAACACTGTGATTGCAAATCCTTAAGGAATTTTTGCCAAGAATTTATTGCTAACTCATCTTCTGTCTTAATACCAAAATACAGTGACACTAGAGCAATTTATTGAAAACTGCACTTTTAAACTGGGGCATTTGTCCAGTGTAACAGATTGAATAACTGACATTTCCCAACTTTAACCTCTAAAATACAGAAGTGCAAACAAGTTTACTTCAGCATAACTCTGTATCCAGACTTCAAAAATGGTCTCTGACATTGTCTGAAATATAAACTATTTTCAGTACCAAAGAAGTTTGTGTCTGCTAGGAAGCTTGTTTTGCCACTGGCTTTTTGTTTTGTTTTTTTCCTGAGAAGAACTTAAACCTTGGTCAGCATTTTTATGAGCTATAAGTCACCCCTGACTGTGGTTCAGGAAAATAAGCTACTTATGATTGATGTTTTCAACATGAATCTTAAGCAACAAAGACTTAACGTGATCCTCTTGAGTTTTGATGTATGAAGATGGTGATACATTACATGATACATATAATACGTGTATATATACACTATACATCTACTCACACACACCATGCAGATAAAAATAAATATATAGTGCATCTACAAGGGCCAAAAATCTTTTGCAGCTGTTACTGTCAGTTAAGGTACAAGCACAATCATCAGGATTCACCAACCAAGAACCAAATACGCCAAACATTAAAATAAAGTCTGACACAATAGGTGTGCTTTTCCTGTACTCATTTTTAATAGTGCAAAAAAATAAGTCAGTAGTATACTATTTGAAGATATTCCTAATTCTAAAAATATTTCCATTTGCAACCAAAAACGCAGTAGCTGGTTTTTGCAAAAAGTCAGGTAAAATATTTGAGGGCAAATAAATTAATATAATGTTTTTGTGGAACTGAATTATAAAACTAGTAGTCCTTTATACAACCTTAACAAAAATCTTTAAAAATATCTTTTGCCTTTATAGAAGAGCATATTGGCAGTGTGTATAAAGCAAATACACTAAGTGCATTTGGAGCTCAAGCAGTACAAAAGTCAATATGCGCTAGTAATTCTCGATGCTGACTGGTTGGATACTGCACTTTACACCTGGGACACTCAAGAAAACTTTCATCAAGAAGGCTTGAGTTGAAACAGGAAGGACTTCTGTCATACATGGTCAGCTTCTCTTCAAACGCAGCTTGCAAATCTTCTTGGCATTCCATACATCCAGGTTCCTGGAGTTTCTGGAAAAGGAGAAGCTTTAGTGCAAGATCGG